AGTACTTTATCTAGGTACATACACCGTAGTCTTGGCTACAAGTATAGATATGACAAAAAATATATTTGGAGTTGTACGGTGCAGCAGTAAATATCTTGCATCTACACATGTGGCTCTATTAGGCTGTAGGAAACTAATAAACTCTGCAGTAGCTGAGTAGTTGTAAATAAGAGTAGTCATCTTGCTTTGGAGTTGTTTACTCCACCACAGTGCATGTGCAGACATCAGGGCCGGCTGGGGCACAAGGGTGCTTCAGTGCGGGGGCTGCCTGCTGGCTAGCCCCACACTAAAGCACCCTCATTTCCCAGCCAGCCCCTTCACAGCATGTTGAGCCAGCAGCGAACAGCCCCAGGCTGGCATGCTGACCCCCAGGATCCTCTGCCAGCCGGGGCTGCTCTAACCCAGCTCAATGTGTTGCGGTCTCAAGCGCATGTTCAAATGTGGTGCCTGGGAGCAATAAACTCCAACTCTAGCAAGTTGAAACAATAAATAAGCTGACAAACATAACAGATGTTACTGTTTGAAGGTTATTAATTAACTTTGTGGTACAGTATAGTTTTTGTTTCACTTGTACATTTTAGACCAGATCCCAGGCTGCCACAAAGCAACCTAGCTCCATTTTAGACAGCAGGTCTATGATTCTAACAGAGTTATACTGATTTAAGTGAGCTGAAAATCTAGACCTTAAATGCAAAAGGCAGCCAAAAGCTCATTTCTAAGTACTAAAGGAAGAACAATACACAAATGCAGTAAAGCCTCAGATTCATCCAAACATAGTTTCAGGAGGCCTTTGTACATGCCACAAAATTGGTTTTTAAAGTGGGTTACATGCCCTTTTGCACTGTTTTAATGGCACTGCTGTTTACATGTTTGGCAGTGTATTGCACATTAAATGACTTTGGATGTAGCAAAATAAAACATGTCCGAGGTGTTTTAGGTTGCTACCTTGGTAGCCACAGAGGAAACCACTGGACCCTGTGCAGCTCAGGGGCTGTGCAGACAGCCCAGCAGCAGCCTGTGTAGGCAGGCTCCACTGAAGAAAAGAAGTGACATTCTGTTTAAAATTTTTTTTCTCTCTCCCTGGAGCCTTCCTGTGCTTGAGCTGCGTGTGGGCCCAATGTTTCCCCCCATGGCTGCTGTGCCCCCTGGGACCACTCGGTCCAGGTGCCTGTGGGCAGGTGGCACCTGGGGGGCACTGCTGCAGGGGGAAGCACTATCCCCCCTGCTGCAGCTCAAGTACCGCTTGGCCCACTGGCAGCTCGCCCTCCCACCACTGCTCCTGGAGAGACAGGTAAGGATCAGGCCCCAACCCCTGTGTACACACCACAGGGGTTTACTTGAATTTAAATTGAAGCAGGGTTTTTAAAAACTCACTGCTTCAATTTAGATTGAAGTAAACCCCTGTGGCATATACAAATGACCAGGGGTTTGTTCAAAGGAGAAAGGGAAGAATAGATAGCCATGCTCTTGAGCACAGGGAATTACAGAGCCCTTCAGTTCTCATTACAGAATTATGCCTCCATCATCTTCTTCCCACACCTTGAGAGCCCAGCTCTCACCTCCTGGCAAGCATAGACGATGCATGGGGGGGCACATGCCCCCCCCCCGCCCAAGATTGGCCATTGCCAAAGCCGCCGCTAGCTTCTGCAGGCAGGCAGTTTCTGCCCTCCCCTGCCAGTGGAGTCTGCAGGCGGTCCTCGCTCGCCACCGCCCCCCACCACCTCACTGCCGACACCAACGACAGCAGCTGCAGGCAGTCCCCGCTCGCTGCCATAGTGCCCCCCCACCCCAGTCTCGGGACGCACCAGTCATTCATGCTGGCAACTGACTGAGAAATGACAGCTTGTCAGCAAATACAAGATGGAAAGCCATAGGAAGTCCTTGTACCTGGCTGGAGTGTTCCTGTGGCTGCTAGCCAGAAGGCAGAGCAGCAGAACTTCTGGAGGAAAAGGGCATCTCCCCTGGAAAGAATGGAGGAAAGTGGGACTCGAGGCTAAGCGAGAAAACTCACTTATTTTCATAAGCACAACTGCTATACCAGCAAAGGTCCCAAGGGCCTGAGACTTCTCAAAGGCTGAACCTCAGGCCAGAGGCTTAAGATTTGACAGGTCAAGTCTGACCCTGGGGAGAGCACAAAGATGGAGTGGAATACAGAAGGAGAATTGTTAGGTTGTTTGGGTCAGAAGGGACTTGAGCAGATTATCAAGTCCAACCCCCTGCCATGGGCAGGAATTTATGCTGGGATCATATGACCCCAGCTAGGTGATTATCTAGCCTCCTTTTAAGACCCCCAAGGTAAGAGTGAACACCACTTGCCTTGGAATGGAAGGAGGAAGAAGAGATTAAATGATGTGGTCCAGTGGGCAAGGTACTAAAAAGAGTCAGATAACTTATTTCTGTCCTTGGCTCTGAACTGCCACTTTGACCTTGCACAAGTCACTGCACCACTCTGTTCCTCTGTCCTCTTTTTGGAAGTTGGGGAAACAAGATACTGGCTTCCTTTGTAAGCTGTGCTGAGTATGTGCTGGCTATTCTTTGTGAAAGGTGCTCTAACACCATGTTCATAGGCACATTTGGAGAAGGTAAGGGAAGAAGGAAAAATCAAGTCACTGTATCATTTCCTAAGTCTCAAAGCCTGGCTCTGGTCACCACAAAGTTGGGTAAACCATCCAAAATAAGCAAACAAATGAGAACCAAAGACTGGCAAGAGAAGGGGAAAGGTGTCTTTACTAGGTATACAAAAGGTCTTGATTTTGCAGCAAGTACTTCCAACTGACACTCAGCAGTGTCCTACTTCTGATCCCATTATTGAGATATGCACAGAGGAAAAAGTCTCTGCACACCCTGGAGTACAGAGGAACTGAAGGTTGGACAGTCCCTTGAATGGGACATGCCAGGGAGATACCCCCATTCATTCCCATATAAATAGATGTCTACCAAACTCTAGGCAGCTGTCAGCCAATTTTGCATGCAGATCACAGGGCCAACAGCCTTTTTTGTGGGCAGACTGTAGTCCCTCCCACCTCTAATTGGCCAAGGGGCCCCAGTAGCCCCACCCTTCACCACTGATTGGCTGCAATGACTGCCCATCATAGAGCTTGCTCTTCAGTGGGCTGCATGATCAGGCATAGCAGCCATGAGGACCACTGACTACCCAGAAGGAGCCAGTACTATTTTCAGCAAGAATCTTCAGCAAGAATTTTCTGCAAAAATCACGGAACTGTGATTTTGGTAGGTCCCCATATATAAAGACCTTGATTAAGGGCCTTGTTTCACATTAATTTTAGGTGGCTCCTAGAGCAGTTAATGTATGGACAATCTAGGGGTGAACAGCTGGATTTAAGTTTTAAGAACACTTCAGGCAGCTTACACCACTGCAAGGCAGGTTTCTCTCTGATCTATGTTATCCAGGTCATATTCCAATAATGTGTGGTCACTCCTCATAGATAAGCTACCCAAGTTGCAGTACTCCAGGATCCCAGGATGCATTGTCCCCTCCCCTCCCCTCTTGTTCTATGTGGACAAACTTTCTACCCCATTAACTCTACTACCCAGGAGGTAGATCTCACACCAAGCTAACTCCCCATCTCACCCCCAGGGGTGCAACCTCTCCCCCCAGGGGTGCATCCTATGCAAACAGCCTGCAAAATGCATGCCAGCTAACTAGATCACAGGGCAAGAGGGGTCCAGGAGTGGGGCCTATGGGGTGGGAAGGGAGTGGGGACCACAAGGTACAGGGCTGAGGCAGGTCCTCATAAGCTGGGGCTTCCTTCCCAGGCCAGGAGCAGTTGCTCCCCCAAAAGCACCTTCCCTTACCACTCTCTTCTTCCACTCTGGGAAAGCATAACCAACACCCCCCACATCCAAACCCCAATTTATTAAAACATGAGGCCTTCTTTAACTTCCTTCTTTCCTTTTTAAATTCTTTTTTTTTCTTTACTTCTTTTTATTTTATCCTTCAGTAGGTGACTTCATTTCACCAGCCTTCTTTCACCCTCATTTCCTTTCCATCTACCATTTCATTACCCACCTCCATCTCATTAACTCTCCACCTCCCAGCTTCATGTCTGAGGGGAGGGGGAGGCCCTCCCCTTGCCCACCCAACCCATCTCTCCCCCTCCCCAGGGATAGAAGACCCAGCCAGAGGCAACTCACAGCTCCAGCTCCTAGTGAGGCCCCTGCTCACCAGCCTTCTAGTGGCAAGTCACAGCTGTGCAGGTGGGGGGCAGTCAGAGAAGGTTTTTAGTTTTATGGTGTTACTGCTCCAAACTCAAGCTAGCACTAACACTATCAGCATTTGAGCAGCTCACAGTGCAGTATGTAACAAGGCCATAAGAGAGTTATCCTGCTGAGATAACTAACAAAGGTGAACCCAGGATGGTGTCAGGTCACCAGATAGCCAATAAGCATTTAAATATAGGCAGTCCTAAACAGTCAAGAGGCATGAAAGTGTGTTCCTCAAAAGCCATGGGATTTATAAACTGAAAAAGCATGAATTTGCACTTTGACTTCCTGATTTGAGCCTTCATGGTCCATTTAAGTCAAGTTCTCAAACTTCTCTACAGCTTTGTGGTCTCAAAATCTTTAAAACAAAACCAATTCTGATCTGTAGGAGCTGGGGCTGTAATGGATAGTAAAAAAAATGTCTTCCCACGTAAAATATCCACAAGCAATATAGACAGTGATTTATAAGTCAAGCAAGTAATATACTAATGAAGACTTGTATGAGCTGGGAGCATACTGATAAAACACTGGAAAAGAGAGACCCCATACAGCGTGTGTATCTCACTAGAATCTCATTATTCAAGAGTGTTAAACTTGAGTCATGAAACTAATTGAAATGGAGGTAGGGGAAGAACCTAGCTGAAGCCACATCTTCCATTATATTAGCTGGAAATTTAAGGCCCTGAGCCTAACTCCTCTGGGTGCATGCAGATGCTCAGCTGAGGGACTTCAGGCTCACTGTCAACACATTTTAAATAGGGCTTGTTTCTTTGCAGGATATGGCACATAGAAAAATGTGGAAGGAGATGACTGTCACCTCAGATGGACATCACTCAAACCCAACCTATGTCTACAAGGTGGTTCTCTTAGGGAGCATGGCAGTGGGAAAGTCAAGCTTAGCCTTCCGATATGTGAAGAATAGCTTCAGGGAAACAATGCCAACTGTTGGATGTAAGTAAACAGTCACAACATGAAGGATCTACCTTGCAGGAGGCTAAAAGCAGGAGACTCTCTACTGAAGTTTAGGGCACTACAGTAGTGCCTTCATTGTAGTTCAAGGGCCTCAGAGCTTTTTAGTAGTTATGGGTTCTGTTTCTACTGTAATATGTTGCTTTGGCAGCAACATCACATCCAGGTAGAAAAGAAATTTGCTTTGCCTTTTCAAATATAAATTCACAATAAGATGCAGAAAATTCTGGTTGAAGCAGATGCAACTGGACACACTAGACTGTGAGACTTGCATATTTTAAAATAAGGTAAGCTTTACCTGATATTGCCTTTTATGGCTATTCAGAGACTTACACAAGAAACATTTATGGTATTTAAACAAGAGGCTCTCCCTATTACTCTCAATTCCCACAGAAGTTCAGTAGCAGGGAGACTTCAGCTGTCTGCGAGACATTTCTCTGCAGGGTTATATTCGAGATAATGGGAAGCAACAGAACAAGAAAGCATAAACCTGGAACAGAGCACAGGTCTTAATTGTGGAGTGAGAGTGACATCTAGTGATTGTTTTCAGGTGTGCTGTGTTCAACACGGTGCAGGTTGCTGACAATCTCAATACTGCCATTGGCAGTTTCTGTGGAATGTACCGTGAGAACGAAGGGTGTCTATACACATGCTCTGAGGTGTGGGGGCAAGAGGGAGGCAGGCGAGTGTTTCGGTTAGAGCAACTCCAGTACAGCCGCTTTAATTAAATGCCACAGTGTCACATGTATTCAGCCTCCCGCGTTTCAAAATGGGTTTTAGTTAATTCAGTGCATTTTAGTTAAAAGCACCCCTGCCATCGTTTTGAAATGCAGGACACGGAATACACGCGACGCTGCAGCATCCTGGAGTGTTTTAATTAGAACGCTGCAACAGACTTGATTAATCGAGGCGGCGCCGAAGCGTTCCAGTTAGAATGCGTCAGAGCACATGTCATAGCCCAAGAAAAGGTGACATTTTTATAGGCCGTTCTCCTATAAGGACACCTGAATTTATTCCCACCCTTCTCCCATTCTCCTACAAATGCTTTTACAGTTGGGTTAGAAGCACCACCACAGCTATTGCAGAAACTGATTGCAAGCATCTTAGACGCTTTTACTTCAAGGCATCTCACATAACAGCCCTGTGACTGAAGAGCATACACCAAAGAGCATGATGCTACTTACGTGGAGAAAATAGCACTCTGAAAAAAAAGAATCCTTCTCAGGAGTGCCAGTTCTAGGGAGCTACTGTACTACAGCTGATAATATTTCAATTCAGTGGGATAGGGAAGAAAAAGCTGACTTTTGGATTGACTTGCACACAATACAAGACTCAACACAGAAATTTGAGTTTTCAACCCAAACTAAGAAGTGGGGGAAAAAATGCTAGGCTTGATCTAAAACTGAATCATTCAATTTTCTAGATTATTTAAGCCTTTTAAAGAGCTTTTAATTTAGATGATTTTTTGAGGTTGGGGGAAGGGGAGAGAGGGGAAGATATTTTAAAACAAAGTTAAAAACATTGTAGCAAGTTCCAAACTGAAATTTCTTTTGACTTTTTAATTAGACCCCTCTGGAAAATGGGCAAGTTGAGGTACAAATATTAAAGGGCTAAATTACAGCTTTGACTGCATGTTTGTATAATGGATTAAAGAAAGCCCAAGATCCTCTCCTCATCACGTACACCTCAGGTCCAGCATACAGCATATGCTCCCAGTCACTTCTGAAAAGCACTACAGGAAAAACAGGGAGTATGGGCTTCCTCTGTCATGATACCTACTCAGTCCACACACCTCAGCCTGTTTGGGGGTTGTGGAGGGGAAGAAAACAATGCAACATGCTGCTAGCTAGCATGTGCCAGCAGCAAGTTTCTCTCCCTGTTTTCTGAACAAGTGAAAGGTTGCATCTCAGAAATATGAGGCACAGACTCTCCTCCCCAGGGTCATACAACTCATGCTTGCTCAGAATTGTGCTTAAGCCTAGATTTTCTTTTAACTTTTGAACTAACAGCCCTCACCTCTCACAAGGGTTAAGCATTTGCAAGTGGATTTGAATTCTGAGGTCTCATCCCACCCTTTCACCACATTTCTTCAGTGAGAGCTCCAAAGATAAAATTACCAGTGAGGTAACACACAACACATTTACATCTGTCACAGTGGTTTTGTACACCAGGATCTGGAGAAGAATGATTAGTTTTTCTCAGAGTAGTAAAATGTAGGCTACTACTACAGTAGTCTACTCCTGTGTGCCAAGGGAGCAACTAATAGTTTAAGAAAAGTGTTAAACTGGTATAGTCAGCTAAAACTGGCTAGAGTTCCAGATATGTAATACATACACCAGGGAATAGGCACTATGTTTTTTCATGCAGTAACTTCACACTGAAATAGTGTTTCATTTTTACAGTTGTGTGTACATGTGCCTGGTGGGCTGACAATTCTGCTGAAGTTTGCTGACTTAATACGCTGGTGTTACTGGGTGGTAACTAAATTTCACTTGCATATTTTTTATTATTTCCCACATTAAAAAGACAGTCTCCTTCTAAAAGTAATGTCTAAAGGGTTTATTGTTCATCCTGAGCCATCTCTTCAGGCAGCTTATAGTGGACAAAGATTAATATTCAGTACATGTGCACGGAGTCTTCCAAGTGAAAGGTACCACTGCCTTGTCATTTCTTTCAGGTTCTTTCTTCAAACAGATGATACGTTTAGAGACTGCCAATATCATGTTTGAGATCTGGGATACTGCAGGTCAAGAGAAGTACCATAGTGTTTGTCATCTTTATTACAGGGGTGCTAGAGCTGCTCTTCTGGTATATGATATTTCTAGAAAGGTAAGACTAAAGTCTTGTTCATCCATCATCAGCCTCCAACTTTCCATGGTATTCTGCTTAATTCATAATAATGCAACATTACTAGTATGCCATAGTCATTACAGCAAGCAATGAACCAAGGCTCCTTTCTTATAGTGTGCTAAGTGATAACCGTGTATACAGGTACATCACTGATGTTTTCATTAGTTTAGTTAGTAAATAGGGATTATATTGTAAATATAACTAATTTCAACATATATTATGGAAGACAAGTCACTACCCCACTTGATAGTTTAGTGCCAACAGGAATGAGAAGAGAGGTGGGTGGTGTAATGAGAAAGACTGTGTATAATGTTCCCTATTCTAAATGGTTGGCCTCCCCTGTTCTACAAATAGAGGTCTATTCTCAAGGCCAGACAAATGGGTGAGAAGAGCAGCAAGACTGAGTGAGGCCCTTCTCCTTTGAACTGCAGAGGATTCTTCAAACATTAAAAAGCAATACTGCTCGAGTCAGCATGGCTTAGTTTTATGGCTTCCCTACCTTGGGACATAGAAAGGGCTTACATTTGCAACACAGCAATATGGCTAAGGACCTGGCAGCTCTTAGGTTATGTTGTTTCTGTTGACTCTTTATCCTAGAGTCTTAAGCAATCTAGTCCTAAAATGGCCAAAACAATGGGCCTGTTTCTTCTTTTCCAGTCTGATAAACTGTTTTTTCAATATGCACTTATTTCCTTAATGCCATTCTGGTACCTCTAGATGTGATGAATATTTAGATATGATGAATGTAGCTGTTGACAGCTTACACAATGTATTAATCTTTTATAACAAGAAGGCACAAGGTTAATCTTTGAAAGAAAACAATGCAACAAAAAGACCGGGTTCTAAAAATCAAGCTCCTCCCTCCTTTAGTGTCTGAAAGCCCTCCAGATGTCAGGTGGTAGAACTCAAGTTCCTTGTACTTTTTCTGTAGGGTCTGTCCAGGAAAAGGACATGTGCTATATTCACATTTAGGAAATGTTTGAAGCTACCCCAGGGGCAAAGAAGAAGCATGCGTTGTCCACTAACTCCTACTCAGTCCAGGCCAAAGCCTGGAAGTTAGGCAGCAAAGCTGGTTTAGCATGACCTTGAGTGCCCTCAAAGGAGCACACCCAAGACAGAAACCTGAGAGTAGCTTGGAGCATGCATGCAGCATCAGGCTAAACCAGCTACACAGCCTAACTCCAGGCTTTGACATGTGGTGAGCAGGAGAGATCGGGTGGGATGTGCTTCTCAGAGGAAGTCCTAAGCTTGCTATAGATTCGATTTAAACAGGCTGTTTCTGAGCCTTCTGTTTCCCAGAGCAGGGGTTCTCAATCCTTTGGCCACAGCGTGGTGTCAGTCCACAGCATGGTCAGCTACTGGACCAGAAGTGGCTGCAGACCGGCAAACTGCGGCTCCCCAGAGCTGGGCAGAGAGGCTGTGGCTCCTTCTGCAGGGCCCATGGCAGCGCAGGGTTTGGCTCACCCCCCCACCGGGGGGGGGGGATCCTTACCTTTCTGCCAGCTGGAAACTCCAGCCATGGTCAGCTGTGACTGCTGGGCTATGGTTTGCTGGGCTGCAGCATAAAAACTTTGAGAACCCCTCTCCCAGAGCAAGGCTGACACATTAGGTTTTTCAGTAAAAAAAAAAAATTCTGATTTGTGCATGGCTACTTAGGGATTTTCTACAAAGGGGGAACTGAACTGTGTGATGGTTATTTTGAGCTATTTCCCAGTGTAGACAACCCTAAATATATGTTAATGGCACTGCACAAACAAATAGTTAATGTATTGTAGACTTTAATTACAGACCTCTGCCATTCTGTATGTACCATACTTAAGTGTGAAGAACATTAACCCCTGAAAAATCTTCATATTGAGATAAAAAATAAAGCCAGAATCAAGGCTGTCTCTGTGACATAAATGTGCACGCAGGAGGAACTGAATTATGACAGTCAGTTATGATCACATCAGTTCCATTCCTTTCCAACAAAATTCTGGACTTCAGGCATGAAGATATCACAATTAGATGCATCCAATTGTCCGCCAGGTCTGTTTTGTTAGACTACTTCACACAGATATATTTCATGACCTGATAGGTTAGATGACCTGTTGTTCCTTCTCAATCTCACCAAATACATCTAAGCAAAATATTGGTGCCTAAAGTCCACACTGAACTGTCTACATGCATAAGTATTACTCATACATTGGAAATTCCCTTTCAATCTAGCTGATTATCTGTGGCAGGGAAAAACAACACACACTGTTCACAGCCTGTGTCTTCCTGTGTGGTAATTTGGCTTTTCATGCACAGAACACCTACTCAAGCTCCCTCAAATCCCCTTGCTTTTTTTTTTTTTTTTTTTGTGTGTGTTTTGGGGGTTTTGTTACTCTTTTGATCCTAGGCTTTACTTTGGGAAAAGTATCTCATTCGAGCCTGGACAGAGTTATATTGATAGCAGGTATTCATTTAACGTCCCCAGCCACTGTCAACTTGACTCTTTTGGAGCTATGAACCTTAGATGCTGTATTAATGCAATTAAAGAACTGGGCAAAAACCAACAAAAAAATCCCCTAAACTATCCCTTTACACCTCCTTTAATTTAAATCTGCATTAACACAGACAGCAATAGAAAACAATTAAACAGGGAAACTCAGCCACATAAAATTAATAAAAATAGTATCCCCACTTGGACACAGTTTAATTGTCATTGGCAATACATAAAAACACAGTCACAAAAGCACACTATTGTGACATTACCTCCATGAGGGTCAGAGGGGAATGTCCTAAACTGCTGTAAAATTATCACCTAGAGACAATGTACAGTGACAGAACAAATCAAACATATAGGGGTGTGTGAAACGGGCTGTATTTGATTCAGATTCACCCCAAATCAGAGACAGTGATTCAATTAGTTGATTTGGATCACTGTCCCCGATTCGATTCAGCCAAATCCAATGTGAAGGTTCAGTGCCGATTCGGAGAATCAGTGATTTGGACATAGACACAGCTTTAAGTGTTTTTTCTACACATCTTGAGGCACCAGCGCAACTTGTGAATGCTGTGATGCTGGGGTGAATGGAGTGTCCCCCAGGAGTGCAGGTGGGCCCCTCCCCATGCTCGGTGGTGAACCTGGAGGTGGACCAGAAGTACTTCTGGTCCAATTCCGGGTCTGCTAGGGAGCATGCTGGAGGCCCCCCCTGCACCTTCCTAGCTTGGCGATCGGCCACGGGGGGACACAGTCTTGCAAGGCCTTAAATGCCTGTACACCAATGCTCGTAGCATGGGGAACAAACAGGAGGAACTCGCCCTCAGAATAGCTAGTTCAAATCCAGATGTCGTAGGGTTAACAGAGACGTGGTGGGACTCGTCCCATGACTGGGCAGTTAACATTAGGGGCTATAGGCTGTACAGGCGGGATAGAGAAGGCAGGAAAGGGGGGGGGTGGCACTTTATGTCAAGGAGCACTACACATCCTCTGCCAGCAGTATGGGGTCAGGGGAAGGGCGAGCTGAAGTGCTCTGGGTCAAGATCCAGGGGGGGCAAGGCGAGAGGGATTTGACGGTGGGGGTCTATTACAGACCCCCCAATCAGGAGGAGGAGCTGGACAGGGAATTTTCAGGCCAGCTTGCGGAGACACTAAAAGCAAGGGATGTAGTTGTCATGGGCGATTTTAATTACCCGGACATCTGCTGGGAGGAGCAGTCAGCCGGGACGGACCGCTCCAGGAGGTTCTTGGCCGAGTTGCAGGACCTCCACTTGATTCAGGAGGTGCACAGTCCCACCAGAGGAGATGCTCTGCTGGACCTGGTCCTGGCCGCAGGCGACGACCTGGTAAGAGGCCTCCAGGTTCTTGACCACCTGGGCAATAGTGATCATCGCGTGCTGGAATTCACCATCCAGCGTAGAGTGTCAAGGGCCCGCAGCAAGGTGGTGGCCCTAGACTTCAGGAGGGCCAACTTCAGTGAGATGAGGAGATTAGTGGGAGAGGAACTGGGGTCCTTGAGGGCAGAGGAACTCAGCGTCCAAGAGGAGTGGTCGTTCCTTAAGGAAACGATACTCGGGGCCCAAGGGGTGTCCATCCCGACAAGAAGCAAGGCGGGCAGGAGTGTCCAAAAGCCCCCCTGGCTCACCAAGGGTGTCCGGGAATGCCTGCTTGCCAAAAGGGTGGCGTACGCCCGGTGGAAGGGGGGTGTAATCTCCAAAGAGGAGTATACCTCCTCTGCTCGGGCCTGCAGGCGGGCTGTTAGGAAGGCCAAGGCGGAGATAGAGCTCGGATTAGCGTCCAGGATTAAGGATAACAAAAAGTCCTTTTTCAAATATATTGGGAGGATGAAGAAGGCGCCGGGTAATGTGGGGCCCCTGCAGGATATGCGGGGCAATCTGGTGGTTGCGTCAGAGGATAAAGCGGACCTCTTTAACCAATTCTTCACCTCCGTTTTCTTGTGCAGGGACCGGGACTTCCCTGCTGTGATAGAAGCCGGACGCGAGGGGATCGCCTTCAGACCTCAGGTTGGGGAGGACCGGGTTAGAGAGCTTCTGGAGGGGCTGGACGCGTTCAAGTCAGCGGGTCCGGATGCTCTCCACCCCAGGGTGCTGAGGGAGCTGGCTGGGGTTATTGCAGGGCCCCTGGCACGGCTCTACGAGCGATCGTGGTGCTTGGGCCAGGTGCCAGACGATTGGAAGGTAGCTAATGTGGTCCCCATCTTCAAAAAAGGGAAAAGGGAGGACCCGGGCAATTATAGGCCCGTCAGTCTTACCTCAATCCTGGGGAAGCTCTTTGAGAAGATCATCAAGGAGCACATTTGTGATGGGCCGGCATCCGAGATGATGCTCAGGGGCAATCAGCATGGATTTATTAGGGGGAGATCATGTCAGACCAACCTGATTGCCTTTTATGATCAGGTCACAAAGGCCATGGACGCAGGTGTCGCGGTGGATGTAGTCTTTCTGGACTTCAGCAAGGCCTTTGACACCGTCTCTCACCCCATCCTAATTAATAAACTAGGCGACTGTGGCATAGATGCCTACACAGTCAGATGGATTGCAGATTGGCTGAAGGGTCGCACTCAGAGGGTGGTGGTGGATGGATCATACTCGACTTGGGGGGAGGTGGGTAGTGGAGTCCCCCAGGGCTCGGTCCTGGGGCCTGCGCTGTTCAATTTCTTCATCAGCGATCTTGATGTTGGGGTGGAAAGCAACCTGTTTAAATTCGCTGATGACACCAAAATTTGGGGGGAGGTGAGCACGCTAGCAGGGAGAGAGAGATTGCAGAAGGATCTGGATAGGTTACAGGGGTGGGCAAACAGGAACAGGATGTGTTTCAATACGGACAAGTGCAGGGTGCTGCACTTGGGTAGTAGGAACCAGCAGCACACTTATACGATGGGGAGCTCCCTACTTGAGAGCACGGAGGCGGAAAGGGATCTTGGTGTCATTATTGACTCCAAGATGAACATGGGCCGACAATGCGAGGTCATGGTTGGCAGGGCTAACCGGACCTTGTCGTGCATCCACAGGTGCATCTCGAGTAGAGCCAGGGAGGTGATCCTCCCCCTCTATGCGACGCTGGTCAGGCCGCAGCTGGAGTATTGTGTCCAGTTCTGTGCGCCCCATTTCAGGAGGGATGTGGACAACATGGAGAGGGTCCAGAGGAGGGCCACCCGCATGATCCGGGGACAACAGGGCAGACCCTACAGTGAGAGACTGCGGGACTTGAACCTATTCAGCCTCCACAAGAGAAGGCTGAGGGGGGACCTGGTGACCGTCTATAAACTCACTAGGGGGAACCAGAAGGGTTTGGGGGAGACGCTGTTTCCCCTAGCCCCCGCTGGCATAACAAGGAGTAATGGGCACAAGTTGATGGAGAGGAGGTACAGATTGGACATCCGAAAAAATTACTTCACAGTTAGGGCGGCTAGGAGCTGGAACCAACTTCCAAGGGAGGTGGTGCTGGCCCCTACCCTGGGGGTCTTTAAGAAGAGGCTGGATGCCTACCTGGCTGGACTCATTTGAGTCCCGTTTTTGTTTTTAGGGTTTTTTGTTGTTCTCCCACCCTGGCGGGGGGTCAGGCTAGAAGATCTATTAGGTCCCTTCCGACCCTAAAACTATGAAACTATGAAACTATGACCCCAGGTGCCCCCCGAGACCCAGGAGGCACCAGTCACTGAGCCAGGGAGGTGTGGGGGAGCCCCCCAGTGCACTCCCCAGCGGACCTGGAAGTGGAGTGGAAGTGCTACTGGTCCACTTCTGGGTCTGCTGCCAAGCACACTGTGCTTCTGTGGGATGCTCCATGCACCCCAGCATCGCAGCACTCATGAGCCCCTGCTACCTAGAGGCATATAGAAAAAACATTTAAAGCTGTCTTCCGTGTCCAAATCACCGAATCTTTCTGAATCTCTCCAAATCAATTCAGAAGGTTCCGATTGATTTGGAGAGATTAAAGGGTCCTCCAATTCAATGTGGATTCAGAGATTTGGCCACCGAATCAGGCCAAATTTCTCCTGAATCAAATCAGGGACCAAAACTTCACACAGCCCTATCAAGGAAGCATTTAAAAAGCCTGCTCCATTGTGAAAGAAACAACCCATCTCAGTCCACTATTTGTAATAGGGGCCTGCAATTCAAGTAAGTTATGCAGTGATTGTCATGTCTTACGGACACCGGAATGCCAACCATAGTTTTGGCAGCAGGAAGACAGAGGAGTGGCATACTTCAAGTTATTTGTATACTGAATGACCATTTTCTGACCATTGCTAATTATGAAAGGCATCATACGCCATTCCTTTCTACATGTTACATTAAGCTAACATGACTAAAATTCATGGAATGAATCTAGAATACAGGTCTCAGACACCCCAGCGTTCCAGAACAGAGGAAGAGCAATTTACATCCATTTCTGTATTACTTTTGGTTGCAGTTAGCATAACTACATTGCTACAGCACTGTTGACAAGCTAATTAGCCCAGCATCAACATCACAGAGATGCTGCTTTACTTTTCTCACTCAAGGAGGCAGCTGTAAGGTATCTCCTGAGCCAGAAACAGCGTAACCACATTCATCAAGCACTGTACTTGGGCAAATTACCTCTCCTTCAAGGAGACAATCCCACACAGCAGAGAGCAGGCTAATGAGCTCTGTTAAGAAGCAGAATTAGTCTACTCATAAGCTCCACATGCACATAGTTAGGAGAAACTGGTTTAGGAGGCAGCTTGTAGCTGCCTTCCAAGTTGTAAGCAGTACAGCCTCATATTCCCAGTAGGTATAGCAGTACCCTGTCTAGTGTTGACCCAGAACCATTTTTTCCAATTTGCCACAAAAATCCTGTTTCAGGGGCTCCTCGACAGCACAGCCTTAAAATTCAGGATGGCTGGTCACTTTATTGCTTGCCAGCCTCTTTTGGGTTACAAGAGCTCCTCTCTTCTTGTTCCAGGAAACTTTCAACAGAGCAAAGCTGTGGTTGAGGGAATTAGAGAAGGACTTTCTTCATGATGAAATAGTGATCATTTTAGTTGGCAATAAGACAGATCTTGCGACTGAACGAGAAGTCACGTCAGAGGTAAATGGTATAAATTGCATTCAGAGAGAGAACTAAACATTTGCTATTTTTAGAGGTGCAATCTGATGCTGTTCCATCAGCACAGAGGGCGTCTTTCACATTTAATAAATTACAGATAAATGCGTAAGTTAAACTGGTACTCTGATGAGTGATCAAAGAAAAGTCTTATGTACTTGTGTTGTTAGTACCTCATTAATCTTATCTTGCATGGTTTCAGTTCATAACTTCCCAAAATGTTAGACTTCTGTGAATGTGGTAGATTTGTTTTTCAGCCAGGGCATTTTTTTTTAAAGTCTGCACATATGTTTCTATTGTGTCTCTTCACAGATTTTTATGTATATTGCAATGGTAGCTTGTGTTGTCCTAATATACATACAACCAGGAAGTTGCTAGAACTGGTGCACTACTTTGTAGAGATTCAGTGTTAGATAGTGTGCACCTTGGGAAAGCGCCCACAGCTGACAGGCCTCAGCAGGAGATGAGCTGGCAGATGGCCTGGGTGGTGCTGTTGTGAGGCCTCTCCTTTGGGGGTTAGATACAAGGCTATGACTGATTAGAAAAGTGGGAAAGGGATTAAGGAAGGAAGGAAAAATGTTTTAAAAAGCAACAGAGAGAAGTTGCCTTATCACCAAGTTTCCTGGTTCATGCATCTAAAATTATAGCATATAAACAGTTCATTACCTTTTTTGTTATTTTAAGTACTCTTGCCTTTAACTGAGGAGTATTATGGATTCTCCTTTTCATCCCTTGCTTTGACAAGGCACAGCTCTGCACAAACCGAGCCATCTACAAGGAATTTTGCCCCGATGCTTATTAGTCAATGTTGTGTTTTTAACCCAGGCAACATGAACAAACATGTTGTGTTTCCTTTGTGCCTCCAGGTGCATCATAAAAGAACACAGGCATGGCATAACCAACGACAGCAGTCCATCTTCTCAACTCATGCTCCGTTTTGCCTTAATATTTAGCCTTCTAGAATGAAACAGTGGCAGTCACTGGGACATTACCAGATTCCCAACGCTAGGGGAATAAAATCAGTGTAAAATAAATCTACAAAGCTCCTTCTTAGCATGACAAAACAGCTTTAAAAACAAAACAAACAAACAAAAAAGCCCCTCTCCGCAAAAAAAACAACAGCACCCCATTTCAAGTTTTGTTTTGCCTCCAGGAACGCAGAGTGCAGTTCTAGGGCACGTGATGAGCTCTGTACCTTCATCGTGGCCTAACTTGCAGGCTTGAGGACACACAAAAGTAGGCTGGGCTTATTTCTCAGTAGAACTCTTGAGTTCCCCCTAATGTCACCCTGTACAGACATTATCTTAGTAGCCCAACTGAAACTGGCAAGGTACTATTACAGTTTAGAACATGCCTGGTCTTTTCCACAGTAACTTTGCTTCTGTACACACCAACAAGGAGGTGAAAGAGTTTGCAAGAAGCAAAGGCCTACTGCATGCAGAAACATCTGCAAAATCCAACCATCAAGTGACTGACATTTTTATGGCCATAGGTAAGTTCAGAATAAGAAGCTGTTGTAATTAATAGCAAAGATGCTGTGGCCCATGTATGTGGTTCTTTGTCTTCCTGGTCCTTCAGAGAGCTGTCAGTCTAACCCCTTGTGTCCAGGAATAGTTGAGTTTGAATCATCTGACAGAAACTCACCACCTGGAAAGCTCAGCAATATCTTGCTCCTAGGGACAGGCATGAGGTGACCAAGTGCACTCCTGCCAACAAAACACTGTCATCAACAGTATGCAAGACAGACCCAACCAGCAACCTCCCTGCTTAGAACAGAGACAAGCTGCATCACCACACATGGCAGCAGAGAAAAGTAAACTTCCAATGCTTCACTTCTAATCAGAGGATGACACTTAAAATAATTAGCTTACAACAATGCTCCTCAGAGTGGAATAAGTGACAAAAAGGACAAAGTGAAAAAGCAGAAGGGAACAAACAAACAAGAAATGAGGAATAGGGAGAGGCACCTGTGCCCACTTCAAAAACACCACCACAACACAACCCTCAACCCCAAGCTCCACCACTCCCAAAGCAAACACCCCTTAACTGAGAAAAGCAGAGAGGTTACTATGCAACTGCAATTATATGAAGTATTACTTTTATTATCCATAACATGGAATCCTAGGGATATCTAGCAGTATAATTTAAAACAGGGTATGATACTCAGAAGTTTGGGAGACTCTTCAAGTTTGAACTTCCAAGGTCACCGGGTAGTCTCCCAGCAGGGACTTCAGTCATAAAGCAAGAGGCTCCTACACCCATGAGTTATAACCACTGGCCCCAACAGCTCCAGGGGCTGATCGTTTCTTCCTGCTCATCAGGTTCCACTTTAAGCCTATTTCTATCTTCACCACTGTCAGACACTATTTCCTATTTGCATCCAAGTATAATGCAAGAGTACAAACAAGCCATCTATTTAATTTACTCCCAGAAATTAACTTTTGTAGGATGTAAATTAATGCCTTGAGTAGTTTGAGAAACACAGGGCCAGATACCCAGCTGAAGTATTATATACTGTGTCCCCTCTCTTCCTCCCTGCCCTCAAACAGCTCTCAGTAGTTCCATAGCTCCACTGACAAACCACTTCTACTGCAGGACAGGTAATGGCAGCTGAACAGTCTCCTCAGGACCATTTTGCCTGATTGAGGATGGCATGTTCTAGCTACACCACAGTCCCTCCCTGGTAAGGAAAAGACATCCGGAGAATTACTTACTGTTTTCACAAGCAGCCAGAAAGTTGTAACAATCAGAACTGGGTCTAGGGATTTGGATATAGCATCATTGCAGCTTAGCCTAGAAAGATTAACTTTTTTTTTTATATACTTTTTCATAGCTCAGAAATTATTGCAACAGGAGCAACAGAAGGAGACTACGCCAGTCCAGTCTCAGTCCTGGAAGAAGTCACATGTGGATCTGAGAGCACCAAACAGTAACCAGATTAAGAAGTGCTGCAAGAGCTAAATGAAATGGCAGTCTGGCCTAGATTTACCATTAAAAGGGGTTTAGGGGAAAGGGGGAAGGTGAGTGTGCAAAGACAGGAAGAAGGGAGGCATTATGTATCGGGCTTAGTGCCAATTTTGATACGACAACAAAGTCCTTATGATGCAACTGGAAGATTATATGGTTATTTCTTTATTTTCACAGTATTAGTATTAGAATAACAAATTCCCATATAGAAACAATGGCAAGATATACATGAGCTCAAAAAGCACTGCCAATGACCATATTTTCTGTAAGAAATATATGCGTTGTATAAGAATACAATATCTAGCATCGCCATAAAAAAAGACAACACTCAAGACAATGTTCTGCCCTCCGCCCCCAGCCTTGTAAGTTCCACAACACCCACAGAACTTTGGAAGAAGCTATTAAATCACGTATGCAAGTAGGGCACAGAATATGAAGTATGATCAAACTAAGATTTCTCTGCGAACCCTATAGCAGATGCTTTCTTGAACATATCATGATTGGGGGGTGGGGGGAAGGGGAGAGGAGGACTTCAGCAGGGGATTTCAGAGCCCCCAACTGCTGGAATCAAATTAAAACTAAAATTCTTAAGTAATCATTTAACGAGAATTTTTTTTAGCTCTGATGACTATAGAGGAAAGCACAAGAATAAGAACAAGAGCAACTTCACAGATCAGTATCAAGACTCAAAGAAAATGGAAAAATCGAAATATTAAGCTCTTTGGGGGATCCTGGCTCAGGATTTGAGTGTTAGAGGTTGGCATTACTGCTGTAGCATATATTTATCGAGGTGGGTGGGTGGGTGTGTGTGTGTGTGTGTGTGTGTGTGTGTGTAGTGGGGGAGAAGGTGCGAGTTGGGGGTGGAAGGGGAAGCAAGGGATAAGATGCATTGTAACATGAAGTGGCACAATTACCCTGATGTACCCAGGAGAATCAGGCCTTTGGACAGAAACAAGATCTATCCTAGATGCTTCTCAGTATGGTAAAGCTAGTTAGAGGTACTGTTTTTCCCCTATCTACATGTCCTCCCACAATTGTTCTATATTGGCAAAAAGCCATCTTCTACTGGACTAGATAATTTCATTTGAGGAAGTGCTATACCAGTCA